TTCTCTCTCACTCTCTCTCTCTCTCTCTCTCTCTCTCTCTCTCTCTCTCTCTCTCTCTCTCTCTCTCTCTCTCTCTCTCTCTCTCTCTCTCTCTCTCTCTCTCTCTCTCTGACCTACAAACACACATGGATAAACAGATGAATCGCACTATACACAAAATAGGTCTTGAAAGATGAGACGACAGATGACAGCCAGCAGGAAAGATTAATGTCTAATCTTCCACAGCTTAACTTCCGCCTCCAGAGCTTGCGTGTCTGATACTCGCCTAAATCTATCCTAATCCTCAAATCACAGCGAGATCATTTATTTAATACATAATTATCTTTACAAGCGCTTTCATCCAAAAGCAATTATGAAGTGTCAGTTAAGTAAAGATGGCAGCGGGTCACTGGCGAAGAGTAAATTGGAAAAGACTTAAATTTCTACCACAAGTGTTAACCCTAACCGTTCAATTAATTAAAGACGAAAGAGTGGCGGCCATACAGTCGGATGTTAATTGATAAAGAGTTCGTAGAAGAAAGAGAGAAAGGAGAAAGAAAGAACAAATAGAAGCTTCTAGAACACATATCTAATTTTCATATTCATATTTTTGTTTACTATGTTGTTGCTGGGCATCCGGTCATTTTCAGTTCTAAATATTACTGATTTGTTTTGTGGGTTACGATTGTACGATATTGTATTTTTTTTTTTTTTTTTTTTTTTTTTGCTTGTTAATTTATCTTTATGTGCGACACTAGGGGAGAAGCAGGCGCAAGTTAGCTCGAGAATCAGTGCTTGATTTTAAAAGCTAAACCCTCCCCCCCCCCCCCCCACACACACACTGCAAAAGGAACAACGAATGGAAGGACAAGATAACACACGAATATGTCGAAGGCCTTTACGTGTCTTTTCTTGTTTTTCTCTTCGTTGTTCCTTTTGCAATTTGTTCGACATGAATGCCACACACATACACACACGCACGCAAGCAAGCACACACACATACAAACACACACACATACACACACACACACACACACACACACACACGTACACATATATATATATATATATATATATATATATATATATATATTATATATATATATATATATATATATATATATATATAATATATATATATATATATATATATGTATATGTATCTATATATATATATATATATATATATATATATATATATAATATAATATATATATATATATATAATATATATATATATATATATATATATATATTGGCACATACGGACTCGTGATCTAAACCTGCCATTAAAGCCCAAAAACTAGGTTGATCTGGCCGATGATAAAACTTTACATGTAAATTCACACTAGCATGTACATGTATAAACCCACCCACAGGCACACGTGTATGCATACAAATACTTAATCCATAAATCCATGCATATTCACACGCTGATGTATTCAAATAGGTACAGTGAACCCTCGTTTTTCGCGGGGGTTACGTTCCAAAAAGAACCCGTGATAGGCGAAATCCGTGAAGTAGTAACCTTTATTTTTTTACAATTATTATACAATGAAATACTCTCCCATACATTGAAACCAAAGATCAACACCTTGTTACAGGCACAAGCATTTGTTTAACAAATAAAAGTACTGTATAAACGTTTTTTACAAATAACTACTGTACTGTAATATAATCATTTTAATCATCACTACGAACTGAAGGCTTCATGGGTTTTAGAGAAAATTTGCAAACTTAAATTTGGCAAGCTGTTTTCCGTACATGTACATATTAAACCGTAATGTTATTGACACACAGGTAGAAAAGAAGCGGAGAGACTGTTTAGCCAATCAGAATGCAGAACACAATGCACAATGCAAATCCGTGAAGCAGCGAGAACGTGAACGGTGAACCGCGTTATAGCGAGGGTTCACTGTATGTCATTAAGCACAAAAAGACATCAAAATAAATATATATTTAATTGCGTGTACATATCAACTAACCTAGATGTATGAACATATTGATTTATATCTCATCTGTGATCATTACTAAATTCATTACTAGCATATTCTATATTTAATTGCTTGTACATATCAATTAATCTAGATGTAAGAACATATTGATTTATATCTCAACTGTGTCCATTACTAACTTCTCGAATAAAACAGATACGGCTGAATATAATCTTAACACTTATTTAAAATTCTCACTACCGCCGAGGAGGGAATGTACTGTCTCACATTTCTCTATGCAGGCGACGTACTTCCAGGATCTTTGTGATATGTACTAGTAAAATTATCGTTGTTTTATATAAACTGAGTAACTACGTATACTTGAAGTTTCCCCTTTGGGTTATCTGTTCCTTGTTGTTTTAAATATAGAAAACGATGTGGCGACTTCATAGGTAAACCGATACAAATTACATTTTACAAGCACTGTACTACTGTGCACCATCCAGTAAACGTGCTTCAATCTGAATAGTTATACCTTCCGTTTTCTGTAATGTGGTAAGTAGGAAAATGTGTCAGTGTCACACAGACTATCATATTTTACACATTGCGGTCTACCAGTGTCGATGAAGCTTGAGAACGTTTATTTAACTATCTTTATTTATTGAATTGCACTTTATTGTCCCTTGAAACAGTGTTATGGTATTTAAAAGTCCATTGAACCTTCAACAGTTTAATTCACAAATGTACGTAATATATATATTGCAAACTACATAAAGCTTCTATTGTCATAATATTTTGTGTTCCATTCTTGTCAAGCACATTCTAAAATGACCAATAAAACATTCACTGATTGAGTTTTCTGGAAATTTTGTCTTTTCTAATTAAATCAAATTAAACTCATCTTTGAAAACAAACGTTTCTGCCTTGGCATTTGACGTTGGTAGCGACATTACCTGCATAAAAAGTAAAAAAAAAAAGATGTTTAAATATTTCTTCACTTCCAGTACCCATCATTTCTATGTTTTCAACATAAAATTGTGTGGTGGCACAGTTTTCAATGGGTTTGAAGTTCTAAGACATCAAGTTTTTTTCATTAATCAATATCTTGAATATTCATTGATTAAATACTAAGAACTTCTGAAACTAGACGTAGTAGAAATGGCATTTACACCCTGAAATATACATTGCTTATTTTGCTTGGAGAAAGGTACAAGGTCATGATTGGCAAATCATCAGCAAAGTCAAATCTCTTCCTTAATCAGCTAATAAATTGAAAATCAGAAAGTGCAGGATCTATTTTGATAATCTACATTATATATATATATATATATATATATATATATATATATATATATATATATATATATATATATATGTATATGTATGTATGTATGTATAAAATATATATCTTTATTCTTTTCCTTTTTCTTCCTTTTCCATTTCTTGCTTTTCTTTTCTTTTTTCATAATCTTTTTCTTCTTTTCTTTTCCTCTCCCTATTTCTTTTTCTTTCTATTTCTTTTTCTTTTTTTTTTTTTTCTTTTTTTATTTATTATTATTTTTTTTTTCTACATAAGCAGGAAGGCAGATATATCCCAATATAGTTTTGTACAGTTGAATAACACTTCCATATATGGAGTGTACTTTAGAGTCAATGCTATTTGAGATATAAAAAAATAGATTGTTATTCTTTTAGCAAAAAGAAGTGAAGAAAAATATAATACAAATATATGGAATGACTTTTCATTTGCCTATCGTGTTTCATTTACACAGAGGGAAGATACAGCAGTAAGGGTTCCTAATGTCTAATGGTCGACTGCCTGAAGTGGAGAATATCAGCTATATTCTTAAAAATAAATAAATAAACAAATAAAAAATACACAAATAAAATGAAGGCATCCAGTTACATTTGAATAACATATAACTCAATTAGTCTATATACATTCACAGATGCTAAAACAAGTAAGAACAAATAAACTTGTGTGGGTAGTAGTTGTTGTTCTTCAGACAAGCAAATTGCCAAAATGGTAATCAGGTTGTAAATGATATACAAAGGGAAAGGGAAATATAAGCAGGAAATGGGTATATCATATACTTATTTATTTTCATTTGATTTTATCAATCTTTTGATTTTATTTTCATATTATCAATATCACCACAACTACTACCATCATTATCATCATCATTATCGTCATCCTCATCAGCATCAGCATCATTACCATCATCATCAATCAGGGTTATCTAAACTGGAATAACTGTGATTCAAAATAGACTAAGTAAATGTGTTTTTCCCATGACCTAAATTTTACCAGCCTTTAGGGGAAACTATAATTTTCTTTCAGTGCTTACCATAAAAAATTATTGGAACTATTGATTGACACCATTTTTGACACCTAGTGTATGGCTGATTAAAACAAATATTGTGTTATTACCCAAGGAACTTATAAGGCAGGCAGCACTATTCTGTCTGGATGAAAACCCTAACTGGCAACTGCCAAGCTATGTCATGCCTTTTGACCATCATTTATTGCAAACATTACTGAAAAAACACTTATCATAAACTATCCCACAGATTGACAGGGACAGAAAGGGGTGGAGCAAATGACATCATCTCATTTAGCCAATGAGTGTGCCATGAGATATTAGATATAGCTAGATAAAAAATATATCTATATACTTCATTTGATATTGTCAAAATCACCAAATGTAAAAAAAAGTCCACTCTATTATTCATGATAATGAGGTGTTTCTTACCATTAAGGCAATATAATACTCTATGGAAAAAAAACAATTTCATTTTTGGGTTCAAAAGGCTAAACTAAAATGGTAAGATTTTAAACCCAAAAAAATTCAAGTTGAAGAGCCAAATGAAATTAAGAATCTCAATTCTAGACCTTTGGAACAATAATAATACTATGCTAAAAATCAAAGTGTACTAATATTTCATGCCAAATTAGATTTGCCAATTCCATTAAATATGTTATTAATATCCAGCTTTTCTGAAAAACCATATGATGTAGAGTAACACATACATATTCTTATATCATAATATATCAAATATATACTCATACACATATCATTACACACTGTAATATACAACACCTAAGCATCAGTAACAATTCATTTTACATCTAAAACCCCACGCACTCACCAGCAGAGGATGCTCTTTATATGATGACAGTGTGTGCGGAAGGTTGTGAAGAAGACTCAGGATCTCAAGCTTTGCCTCGTGTTTTAAGTTCCGTGTCACCAAGCTCCTGCATGTGTTATGGTTCGCATGAATTTGTTACTAGGCCATGAATACTATGAGTTTATATGCATTGGCAGACAATTTTGTAAAACAAAAGGATTAGACTAAACTGGAGGACTACAAAAAGCATTTGATTCTATCAATGTGAAAAAACTGAACGTTTATGAATCTAGTCAATGTG